GTGTACTCTGGACTTCTTCCTTCATTATCGTTGGCTCTTGATCATAAGCTATCTCTTGAAATGGACATCATCCACTTTGTGTTGGTACAATAACTCTGTAATTTTTCTTTTGTTGCTTTCTGCATCATTCAGCATTTTGTTCATAGAATCCTTCAATATTGCAAGTCTTGGATTGACTGTTTCCTTTAAATTTTTGCAGTTTGAGAAATGCTGAGTGTGTTCTTCTGTTTTGGTTTCTTAACTCCAGATCTTTGCCCATTTTATTATAATACTTTGCTGTGTCTTCTTGAGCTGCCCTTTTAAATGTTCTCTTCAACTCTTTTTTATTTCCTCATTTCTTCCATTCACTTTAATATCTGTATGATAGAGAGCAAGTTTGAGTCTCTTCTGACATCCATTTTGCTTTCTTCTTTTCCTGTCTTTTTAATGACCTTTTGCTTTCTTCCTGTTTGATATTCTTGATGTCATCCCACAACTCCTTTGATCTTTGGCCATTAGTGTCTAATGCATTAAATCTGCTCTTAATTTTGTCTCTAAATTCAGGTGGATAAGCACTGGATCACAGGTCAGTTTGAATCACAAGGTTGGCAGTTCAAACACACAGTTGCTCCTTGGAAACCCCTATATACAGGGTCGCTATGAGTCAGAACTAACTCGAAAACACTTAATAACAACAACTACAATATTCAGGATCATATTTTGACTCTCATGGATTTATCTGAATTATCTTCAGCTTCAGACTGAACTTGCATATGAGCAATTGATGCTCTTTTCCACTGTCTGCCCCTGGTTTTGTTTAGACTGATGATGTGGAGCTTTTCACCATCTCTTCCAGTATTAGATTTGATTCCTGTGTTTGCTATCTGGCAAGGTCCTTTTATCTTGTTTTAGAATGGTATTTGCAATGAATAAGTAATTGGTCTTGATAAAGTCTATCATATGATCGCCAGCATTATTTCTATCACCAAGGCCATATTTTCCAGCTACTGATCTACCTACTTTGTTTCCAACAGCATATTTTTTTCATGTTGCTATGTCTAAATTACATTATACAGGTTTCAGGAATATGCATCGATGAATCTCCCCAGTGTTTCAATAGAGACTTAAGTTAGATTATAAGACTGTGAGAGAAGATGTTCATCTGACTCCTTTCCCAAGGTACCTTCAGTTCTAAGAACTCTACCAGACATCCTGCTGTGGCGCTGTGGGCTAATGCACTGGACTGCAAAGTCATTTGAACCACCAGGTCAGTGGTTCAAGCTCAGCAGCAGCTCCTCAGAAATCCTATGTTGTTGTTGTTATGTGCCATCGAGTCGTTTC